TCCCCCCCCCCCCCCCCAGCCGGTCGCGCCACTAGTTTTAGTTCCCTCTTCAACGTAACTGTTCCGGGTCAGTACACCCTCCTTTTTGCTAACTGTTTAACTCAGATTCGCGTTTCTATGTCTGTTGAATCTGCTATGTACAACATCGAACCTGGTTCTGGGCGGCGCGTCTACCTGTCTGCCGGTTCTGCCATATTGCCTTTCGTCTACTTCCTTTTCTTCCTAGTATATGGCAGCCTTGCGACGCTATGGGCTTCGGTTTTGTTTCGTAAGCGGCTGACTGCATGCCGGATCCACTACTTCATGCTCGCCGTTGTCATCCTCAAGGCGCTTAATCTTATATGCGAGGCTGAGGACAAGTCGTATATTGAGCGTACTGGCAATGCCCATGGATGGGACGTTCTCTTCTACATTTTTAGCTTCTTGAAGGGGATTTCCCTATTTACTTTGATTGTCCTGATTGGTACCGGTTGGTCCTTCCTTAAACCCTACCTTCAGGACAGGGAGAAAAAGGTGCTTATGGTTGTAATACCTCTCCAGCTCGTAGCAAATATAGCTCAGGTGGTGATCGATGAGTCCGGACCTTATGCCAGAGATTGGATTACATGGAAGCAAATCTTTCTTCTTGTGGATGTCATTTGCTGCTGTGCTGTTCTTTTCCCCATTGTCTGGTCGATTAAAAACCTTCGTGAGGCTGCAAGGACGGATGGAAAAGCTGCTGTTAATCTCATGAAGCTCACACTTTTCCGACAATACTACATTGTTGTAATTTGCTACATCTACTTTACTCGAGTTGTTGTGTACGCGTTGGTTACTATTACCTCTTATAGATATATTTGGACCAGTGTGGTAGCTGGGGAGCTGGCCACCCTTGCTTTCTATATCTTCACCGGATACAGGTTTAGGCCCGAGGTCCATAACCCGTACTTTGTGATTGATGACGATGAGGAGGAGGCAGCTGCAGAGGCTCTTAAGCTTGAGGACGAATTTGAATTATGATTATAGGTGTAGAGGGTTATTAGAAATTGTACTTTCTTGTTCCCCCATGAAAGATGACCTTTACAACCATCCCCATCATGGGGAGATTTCAGCGTCTTGTAGTCTTGGGTATATTATACTTGATATTTTTATCACTCCTTTACCCATGTAGAAGGGGATTCTCGGTCATATCCCCATGTGTAACTTTCATTTGTTATCTTGTGTACATTTTATTAATCTTTTATCATGGAAAGCTTGGGGCTTTATTGTCTATAACAGTTTCTGATTGGTTACAATTGCTGAATTTGGGTTTTCTCGAAAGATTTAATCATTAATTTTGGTGTTAACGCAAATCTCTCTGTTTTTGCATGTAAGTTTCTTTTCTTTTCATTCTTTGTTCTAACATATGTACAAAAGCTTATCTCTATTGGTCTGTTATCTGTCGCCCTAATTGTTCTACAATATCGGTCACCTACTTTCATCTTCATCTGTATGATCTGTGTTCTGCTTCTGCATGTGACAGCATGCTATTTTTGCTTTGAAAACAAATAAAATCATGTTATGGAAATTACATGCCATGCAAATGGCTTGTTATGGATTCCCCATAAAATTCTAAAAATTCATTGTTATAACACATGCTTCACAATATTTCAGGACATTGCCATAATATGTTTTGAGTGGTTTTTAGGCGAGATTTTATTTTTACTTATAGAATTACGTATTTAGATTTGAATTATGGAAAATTATGTGTATGGCTTGGCATAAGATTGTGCATTTCATTACAATACTAAACTCTGAATTTA